TTCTTTGAAACATTTTCTCTGGCTGTTGAATTCTAGGTTCTATTTTCTTTCAGCAGATTGAACATACTCTTTTGCCTTTTGATTTCCATTACTGCTGAGAATTCTGCTGTCAGTCTATTTTTTCTGACTAATCTGTCATTTTTTCCTCTAGCCACTCTAATTTTTTTCCCTCTTTAATTCCGCGCCCCCGCCTTCCACCCCTGACCTATGGATGTTGCCATCTCCCCTCAAGAACTGGATCTCTGAAGGCAGGGCATCTCCTCCCACACACTCGCAGCTTGCACCCGAGGCCTGACGTACCCGGGGCCTGGCACCCCTGGCGCACTCGGGGTGCCTGGCGCACCTGGGGTATGGTCCGTGACTCCACCGGGGGTGCGAACCCAGGACCTTCTGCGTGTAAAGCAGATGTGCTAACCACTTCACTATGGAGCCACCCCCTAACCACTCTAACTTTTTATATCATCTTTGCTGTTTTGCAGTTTCACTCTGATAATTCTTAGGTGTGGGTTTCTTTGAATCTTGGTATCTAAGTAAAACCACACATATACAAATACATTGTGTACTTTGAATGTGAAAAAATTTAAATGTTTGATATTAGATTTTACTGTTTTGAGGATTTCAAATGGCTCAAGTAATTTGACGTTGTAAAGTGCTTTTCATGACTACTTTTTGAATAAAAATCATCCAAACCATGTTAAAGTGGAATTTGAAAGCAGAGGAATAGAAACTAAGATGTGCCCACTGGAACCATATTCTGTTTTGTAAAGATTCGCAGAAGAACCTTAGGATTTGAGGGAAAGTATGATTAAAAATTGTCAGTTGATAACTCATCTAAAGACATTGCATGTAAGATTTTTTTTCAAGCATTGCTTATTAATTACAGATAGATTAATAGTGTTAATACTGTACTTACACAAGGTGAAATACTCTGAGTAGAGAAAACATTTACTTTAGCCAATAGATCATTCATTAAATGGCAACTGTCATATAAAATTATCATTTCTTAGATATAATGTGA